TAATGAACATCCTTAACCGACTCGAAAAACGTGTATTTCTCATGAAGTATCTCATGTTGTGAATTTTGTGAGCACAAGTAAATTTGTTTTCTTCTGATGCTCAACTACCGTACAAACACGATTCTGCGGAGGATGTATTTCATTCTGGTCACTGATTACTTATGAATGAAGGTTTCAATCTTATTGTTGAGGAATCGCTTAGAGGATGCACTCGTTGTTGGTACTCTACGGCAGCGAAACCGGGACGGCAGAAGATGTTGCGGAAGGGCTGTGGAAGGAGGCAAGATTACTGGATGTGCCAGCCCGATTGTTTGGTATGGACGAATACGATATTGAGGTACTTTCAGAATGATAGCTGTGATCATCGACTGGTTTTTCTTATGGGTAATAGTTTTTGGTTGTAGAATCTACCAAACGAGCGTGCGGTTGCATTTGTTGTGGCAACTACAGGACAAGGCGAAATTCCGCCGAATATGCGCTCTGCGTGGCTACGTATGCTGCGTAAAAGTCTTCCTCGGGATTGGTTACAGCATGTAAGTTTTTAACGATCTGGTTTTGTAAAGTACTTGAAACGCTTACTCGTAGACTAGATGCATACGTGAGGCAAACAGCAAAGAGAAACGCTGCATAACTGGGTAGAATACTTGGCTTCTTTCCGATTTCGCATAGAAGAAATCGGTACTGTTATTCTTGATCGAGGAAGGGAGCTTTCGGTAAGATCGCTTTGAAAAGTCTTAAACTTCCAGCGCTGAGTAGATCTTCCAGCGTTGAACAACAGTGATTGATCATTCACTCCTCCAGTATTCCGACTTATAGTGCTCATTACATTTGTTGTAACGTTTCATTAGGTCACGGCGCGGCGGTGTGCACATTTGCTCGCGCGAACTTGTGCAACATTGGATTCGAGCGGAAGTCGTTTCATTACCCGCCTTCATTTGAGCACAATTTCGTTCTGGCAAGGCCAGAACCCGCGGTCACCCCCATCCCTCCTTAGATGAAGGGATAGGGAGGATACTCTTGTCTGTTTTGCCTGCAACAGGGTTCTTTTCTGCAATAAGGACAAATCTTTGTCTGGATCACTGAACCACCTTATTCATTTGTCAAAGAGAGATGTACAATCTCTCCAATTCGAAAAGGCGCCACCCATCCGCCATATAAGCCACATTTTTATTTCTTCATGTTTTCCCTCCTCGCATACCTCGCATAATTTTTCATGCAATTCTTCTGCGCTCCTCATGCGGCACTTTTCGCAGCGGCCAGCATGACCCAGCGACACACACTTTTACCCGATGTGGTCCTATATGCACGAGTTTACCAGCCTTTTTCAGATAAACTTCGGAGTCCTCGGTTTGGGAGACTCGTCCTATCAAAAGTACAACTTCGCTTCGAAAAAGCTTTTTCGAAGGTTGCTTCAACTAGGTGCAAATTCTCTACTTGATATTGGTTTAGGTGAGGTTGCAAGTGTTCCGCTTATTTAATGTGTTTGACATTCCTAATTTTTTTCTATTGTTTTGCAGCGGATGACCAGCACGAGTTGGGTGTAGACGGAGCCGCGATACCATGGAAGAAAGAGTTCTGGGAGAAATTACGCTCCACTAATTTGTTCCATGTTAGTGGTTGTTATTCTTACTAAGACAGATTGGTCTAGAGCATGATATAGAGTTATATACGAGTGCTTATGTTTTAAAATATGGCTGAAATATGTGGTTGGAAAAAGGAATGGCAGAGGCTGCTTTAAG